CGCGCGTGCGCGCAAGCCTTGGGCAGGCAGAGCCCTAGTCTTCACAGATGGCAGCCTTTTAGCCTTTGGAGCCTGGCCGACAATGGGGTGACTGTGCGGTCCCTTTGTTTAAGCAGGGAAAAGACAAAGACACTTAGCTACTGAACCTGCAGACTTGCTCCACTCCCGCCGGCCCACGTGCGTACAGATAGTTGTGCAGCAGTTCTGCTTCTGAACCAAAACTGAGGTACCAAACTCTCCGCAAAGCACTCTCTCCATCCTCTTCCTGCCCTACACAGCTTTCCCTCCCACCCCTCGGCCTCCCTTCTTTACAGAGATGCTGTCCAAAACAAACAAACAAACAAGAGAAAAGTCAGAAATGTATTCGCCTTATTACATTAGTATCTGCATTCGTATTCTTGCTACTCTAGGACAATATCAGGCAAAACTCAGACTCCTAAGCAGGTTAAGGCCACCAACCCCCAGACGTAACAGTTGTACCCAACATATACAGTCAGACCCGCATGGATAGTAGAACCAGTCACGACAAAAACACGAATGTGTTCCACTAGCCCGAGCGATAGAAGACTGGCAAGACTGCACCCTGTCAAAGGCAGAGCACTTGAGAGAGCCAGGAAAGCAGTCCTGTCAGTTCTGGGACTTACAGATTTCACTGTCCTTGGATTTGATCCAGTCTTAATGCAGCATGCCCTATCTAATAAGAAAGTCCATTCTTTTATGGGTGATGTGTTTTTCATTCAATGACTTATTTAGGGTACATCTTATTGATAGCAAACAAGAAAAGAAAGTCCCTAACCTCCTACTAGACCTTCTATGATGTGAAGTCATTTTACAATATTGCTAATGATTTCTCTCTCTCTCTCTAAAATACAGCTTTTCCACAATCAAAAGACATGTTCCTTGTGTTTTCATTATTTTCAAGGCATTGCTACACTCAGAATCTCCTGGATGTTGGAAAGGAGGCAAGAAAAAAATGTCTCTACACCAGAGAAGTTGGAAAATAGGTCCAGAGGCATGAAGCTGTTTGAAGACATTCACAAAGCAGGTGAAACCTCATTCCAGGACAGGCACCAAGTCCTGCCATTTTCTAGAAAGAAGGAGTTATTTAGCCATACTCCCAGCATCCCCCGAGACAGACCCAAGCCAGTCCTATTGGGGAAGGAAGAAACACCTTAGGAAATTAGGAAGGCTGAACAACTTCCTTCTTTGGGGAAAGAGAAAGCTATCTCTTGGAGCCAGATCTTGAACTAGGAGACCACAAAGACACCAGGAGCCTCACAACCAGGCTCCTCCCCATAGTAGCCCTGCTGGAGGACAGGGCTGGGAGGGGCAGGGAATTGAGGAGACCCCTGGACCTTGTCCTCTAGCAGAAAACTTCAACTCTGGACAACACTCAACCTGGACCTCCAGGCAATCCTGCTCCCAAGAAAGAGGAGCCTGGCCTCTCCGAGACCTCTCCAAGGCATCCATTCACACAGAGATCTCTATGACTGCCTCTCCTAATTCCAAGGCTGTGGCCTTGCTCCATCATTACTGGTCCCTGACAGGCTTTGTCAATTCAGAGCAGAAACCAACTGAATGAAAATGCCACCTAAACCTGCATCTCCCCCAAGCCACGAAGGAACTCGAGCATGGCATCCTAGGGTCTGCCGCTTCCTCAAGGAGCATCCCGACATCTTGTTTCCACCTCAGGGAAAGGACTGAAGACATGGCTGGTGCGACCCCATAACCCTGCCCAGGTTGCAGTGCAAGCTTCCTTCTCCAGCATCAGAGTTCCAGGTGAGCCTTTCCATCTGAGATGCATTGGCACGTGTGGCTAGAGTTCACAACTCCAAACCAATGTGCACATGCTACTCAGAGTTTCTGATGAGGTTGGAAGTGAAGCTGGAAGGCTAGGGTGAGGGGAGCGTGTCTGTGGACCTCTGAATGCATGGAGCGAGAAGGACCCTCCAGACTTAAGAAAGCTGTGGTTCACGAGGGCCTTGGCATCCCTCACCCTGGATGGAGAGGTTTTGAGGGGCATTTGATGCCAATGTTCTTCAGGCTTGAGAAAAGGAACAGACAGAACAAAACCCTTTTGCACCTCCCTGAAACTCACTCCCATCCCCATTGCCCTGTTGCTTACCTACCTAGAAAAGCCCAGCCCTGCCAAGGGATAGCTTAGTGAATGGAATCGTCTCCCAGGACTTAAGATTCCTGTCCATTTTCTCCTAGGTGGTGAGGTTGTCGATGTCATATGGGGGATGGGGGGGGGGGTACTGTCCAAGCAAATGAGGGGGCTTGTAGGGTTTCTGCCTACACGGATAGGAAAGAGAACAGGAGCTCAGTAGGCAGGGAGCCCAGAGAGCAAAGGGTTTTGAGTCTTGGGCTGCTGGTAAGCTCAGAGCAGCATGTTCACAACAAACCAGATCAAAAGATACTTTGGCTGCAAACATGACCATAGGACCAAGTCCTCTCATTCCACTCCGGATTTCCAGCTCCTCTACTCTGAGAATACATGTGGACACTTGGGAGGAAACGCATGGCCATCAAAATGCAAAAACTGGAAAACCATCAAAGAGGTTCCACCTGGAACCAGTCACCTTTTGAACGACCCTAAGCAGTCACCCTGAAGCTCTTCAAAAGTTACAGCCCTCACACTAGACGGCTTAAGGTTCCCCGGGGCAAGCAGGGGAGTAGCAATCTGCAAGACCTGGAAATACCCCGAGAAGGAGGAGAGAAGGCCAAGAGGACTCACCTGCTCTGGGCCCTGGAAGCAGATCCGGCAAAGAGGGGTCCTCATTCCACTGTCCAGACTGCTGCCCAGGGAGTAGCAATCCTCAGCCTTCCCCTTTCCGAAGAAGTCGTCCGAGGAAGCAGGGCTGAGCGGGGAGGCCAGGGGTCCAGTGGCTGGGTCACCCCAGTCATCTTCCACAGAAGGTGGCAAAGGTGGTGGAGGCGGCAGCGGAGGGGTCTCTCTGACAACCCCCTCTCCAGGGCCTCTCCAGCCTGCCCACCCCCCGGCACCCAGAGCCTGAAGGGTGTTGTTGTTGGCCGCCAAACCAGGGGGCTGGGGGTCTCCGTGCATGGGCAGGGGGGCTGGCGGGGGGCGCCGCAGCAGGAAAACCTTCAGGTCATTGAAGAGCATGCGGCAGCGGCACTTGAGGAGACCCTGGTGGCGCGACATCTGGGGGCCCGGGGCACAGAGTCCACAGCTGCAACAGGACCACCACAGCCAGAGCAGCCCACGCAGGGGCATCAGCATGTGCCCAGCGGAGGCCGAGCGCCCAGGCGGGGCAGCTGGAGTCTTTACAGAGGAGGCTTTGGAGGCTGGCACGGTTCCTGTGTTCAGAGGGCACCCTGCTTTCCCACGGGCCCTGCTCTTCGGGGGGCCCCCCTCTAAGCACACCAACGGCCCGGCCCCCACCACTGAGCCGGAGTCTCTGATTCTGAACTCTAGCCGAAGGCCAAGCAGCCAAAAGTTACTCTTGCCCACTCCCCCCACCCCCACCTCAGACCTGCTCAGGGGGGTTCCTTTCCCTCGCTGACCTGGGGGCTCTGGTAGGGGCAGGGGGAGCGGAGTATTAGAAATGAGCTATGAAGGACTGTGAGATCAAGATTTAATGGTTAGAGAGTTCCCCAGGAGGAGAGGTTGGCTAGGAAATTATTAGACTCGCCTCAAATTCCTAGGCCGTGGGAAATCTCTTTTTTTTTAAATCTCTGAAAGGGGGAGGGCGAATAAGACTATAAATCATATCTTGGGTGGATTGAGCTGGGCCTAGGACAAACTAGCTCAGTGAAGAATTGGGGAGAGCATGTGTGAGAAAGGAGAGTTCCACAAAGAGTAAGAATTTGGTTGTGGGTTGTGGGGGTGGGGCGGGGAGTGGGGGGAGCAAAGCTGGGTGAAGTTTTAACTCTCTTGGACAGAAAACTGGGGCAGTGGACCCCAGTAGCACCAGAGTTCTTCTAAGAGAGTAGTTGGGTGTGGAGGGGCACTGGGAGGTGGTTGCAGGGAAAATTGGGCAAGGAGTTTGTGCTTTGTGGGGCAGCCAAAGGGCCCCTGAGAAGAGGGGAAAGCGAATGAGAAGTGGAAAAAGCAAGGGACTGGAGGCAAGGAAGGAAGGGGGGGGCGGTACCCCAGAAAAGATCACTTAACCCTTGCAGAGCTGTCTCCTTCCTGAGCTTTAAGATCCTCGGGGGGTGGGGGCAAAATGGGAGTAGAAAGGGTGGGGGCGGGTAGAGAAGAGGGTCGTATAGGAAGGGCAGACGGAAGGAAATCGTTACATGGCCTCAGTCCTCCGCCCATCTATACTGCAGGCTGTCAATCCGAGGTCCCTTCCCCTGGGCTCCATCAAAGGCCCCTTCGGGCGAGGGGCAAAGGCCAGGAGAAGGGCAGGTCCCGAAGAGCCTGCGGCCTCGCCCTCCTCTCCTCTTCCTCCTCTGGGTGGTTGTCGCCTTCCTCCTCCTCCTCTTTCTCTTCCTCCTCCTCCTCCGAGCCTGCCCGCTGCCGCCCAAGCTCCAGTGGCAGCGGCGGCGGCTGCTCGGCGTCCGGGTGTCTCCGGGGCAGGGGCTGCTCCGTCTCGTCCTCTGGCTGCTGCCCGCCGTCCGGCGCGGCCGTGGCTCCCGGCTTCATGATCCTCCTT